AGGGTCGGATCCTGAGGCCGCAATGCGAACGGGGAGCTCGGAAACAAGGGGGGGGGAAGCTGGCGGAGGCGGCCAGGATTCTGCGGGCTCATGGTCGGGATGGTCTTTGCGGACTGGCCTCCGGCCAAAGGGCTGCCGTCCCTTGAGCGGGGCCGGGCCGATGCTGCTCGCTTTGGGCCGCCGTGGTGCAAATCGGGCCCGCCTCGGGGTTAAAAAGAAGGCGACCTTAAGGTTCTTCTCGGTTAGGGGCTTTACGGGGAGAGGGGAGCCGGCGGTTCGGTGGAAGGCGCCCTGAAGGCATGGGTCCGTTAGCCCTGCAGAGAGAGGCGCCCTCTTTATGCCAGCTTTCCGGCACACCGCGTTGTCCGCCTCCTAAAAGGTGGCAGGATGCGAGCCCCTGAGGCACAGGGTGGATTTCCCGCCCGTGGTGTTACGTGAAGGCCTGATTTAGCCGCCGGTACCTAAAACTAGGCACGGTGTGAATGCGCGCAAGTTGCACCGGCACGTCAGAACGCGGCCAATGCAGAGGGACTCGAGGGAGGAAGCCTCAGGTCTCTCACCGCCCCCCCTGTCTCCAAATCTCCAATAAAACCAGGCCGTGTGTGTGTGTGTGTGTGTGTCCCAAACCCAAAAGAGGGCTCCCCCAGGAAAATCGTGCAACGCGCAATCTAAGTATTACCTAAGGGCAGCCCCGGCTCCATGGGCATCGGGTCTCCGGCAGGGAGGAGTCCACGGGTTGGTTGGTTGGTGCGCCTGGACTTGGAAAGTGGCGAGTCGCTCCCACCGCCTCTGTCCAGAAATGAGTCGCGGAGTCCTAAACAGCCGAAACCAATCGCTGTTCTGCTCTTGCAGCGGTTCCCTCCTGGATCCAGTCTTGGCAGGAGGACGTGAGGAGCTGGCCGTTGGGAAGTCGGAGGGATTTTTTTTTAAGTCCACTTATTTCTAACTACTTTGCTTAAAACGGGTGATGGTCCTGCTGTCTTCCACGCTTGCTCTTTGGAGGTCGATTCCTTCCTTGAGAAGATCAGTTGGGTCCAATTACCTTCCATTGGAAGCCACCCAGAGTGGTNAAATAAATAAATAAATTCCTTAGAAGCTGAGGCTTTTTGTTTTTTTGGTGGATTACAACTCCATGGACCCCCCCCAGGCAGTACAGGAGATTTTAGGTGTTGTAGTCTGAAAAAGTAACATTTCAAAACGTGGGTTATGGGTCTTGGACTTGTAGAGCAGCCCACAAGCAGGGAGAGACTGCAAGGCGACTGATGAGGATCTTAGTGTGATGTGTTTGAGGTCTCACTCTCCAGGGCTGGCTGCCATCTCTTGAGCTTGTAAAGAGTTACAAAAGGGAAAATGCCTAGAGAGTGATGAACTGGGGAGAATTGCTTTCAAATGTCCAGAGGGCTCCAGTTATAGTACAAATGACTCCTTGTTTGCAATCACATGGGCTGGTGGTCCCCAAATGCCTAGCCATGCGTACTGGTTGCAGAATTTCCATCAAGGTGCAGGTGTTTTAGGGAAGGCGCTTTAGAAAAAATAAAATAACAGAGCAATATTTATAAACCACCCCCTTTTCACATTAGATCTCAAGGGGCCAGTGTGGTGAAACAGTGACAGGATTGGACTAGGACTCAGGAGACCTGAATTCCAGTCCTCACTCTGCCGTTACACTTACTGAGTGTCCTTGGGACGGTCACAAACCTTTCAACCTGAGCTACCTGACAGGGTTGTTGTGAGGGTAAAGTGAGACACACCTGCTTCCTTGACATCGTTAGAGGAAAAACAGGCTATAAATGGAACAGGTGAGTAATAAATAAGGTCGTTTACATGCAGTTCCTAAGCAGGGCCAGCCTGAGACATTTTGATGCCAGAGGCAGAATAGCAAATTGCATCCTTCACCATTGGGGCCAAATTACAGAGTGCCCAACTCCTGGTGAATTATTCTAGCAAATGAACTGAAATGTCCCACCTCACTCTATCCTTGACAGTAAAATGCAATCATGACACATTGGCTTAATTTGCTGCCTGTTTGTGCCATTCCAAATTGGCTGCTTGTGGCAGCAACTTCTCACTTCCTTAAAGATAGGGATGGATCCACCTTTATGCATTCCCATGCCTTAATCCTTCTAGTAACTTTTGCAGGCTCTGTACACTGAAAGACATGATCTCCTACTTACTCTAGTATGTATATCTCCATATCTGCCCTCGAGTGGGAGGCAGAAGGCTCTCTGTGAGTGAAGGTGACCCTTGTGGGGAAAAGCTCCTTGCTTTGGTCCTGGTGTGAGTGACTGATGCATTTCTCCCTGCCCCCCCCATCTCCATACTTAGTGGAAGTTACAGCAAAGTCAGTTAATAATTATCCACAAGGAGATTTCCAAACGTTGTGCCTTCCAGATATGTACAGTTGCATTTGGCTATAGGATTATGGGCCAAAACATCTGGATGACACCAATCTGGAGAAATGTGCATTATGTTGTTGTTTTCTTTGCAGAAAGATGGGTGTTTTTTTCTGATTTGTTTTCATGAAAACTATAAAAATGCTCATCTGATGATTCACATGGGATTTATTTATTTAATCCAGCAGGCCATTGCAGTGGGAACAATATCAAAAGACATCATAAAACAAACTAGAATGAAATCAGTGCCTCCCACAAAAGACTAGGTAGAAATTATCATAATAAATGCCATCATAGCAGCCTCGTTGGAACATTACTGTCATTTGGGATGTGTAGAAACTATTTGGATAAATAGCTCCTAAATCCTTTTTATTTCATCATATTTTGTCCGGTGACATGGACAATGGCGTGTTGTGCGCAGTGCATTTTCGACATAATCAAAGATGTAGGACTTGAGAAATCTTTTTGTTTTTCTCCCTCTTCAAAGCATGATATACTGTATGGTTTTAAAAGCAGGAAATGAGATCTGGATCATCAAGGCACAACTTTAGAGCAGACCCTTCCCATTTGGTGCCCTCCAGATCAAATAAAACTAGGGATGGGGAAATCATCACTTTAAAAAGCCCTCAAGTTATTTCCTTCACAAATATGAAGACACATGTGTATTTTATAAATTTTAAAAAATATTAGAATTGGTTTTTAAAACCCCTTGACACTCCCTAAGGACCCCTAACAGAGCTTGGAAAAGTTACTTTTTGGACCCACAACTACACTAATCATTTGTCCATTATGGCTAGTAGCCATTCTGGAGAAGGTATGGGAAATGTGGTTTGGGCTATTGATTTCACAATTACAGCTAGCAGTTACAATTAAAAGTACAATATTTTTAATGTTGTTTGTAAGAGTTTTGGTTTTTTTAAATCATAGTGTATTATCAACTGAGCAATTTTGTTGACATTTTAATTAGAACGTACATCATGTATGATTAAATAAGGAGAACAGGGCTAAAGGCCAGAGATGAACAACTTAGTTTCCAGCCAGAGGGAAAAGATTACATAACTATGTGCCATTAAGTCAGTTCTGACCTATAATTACATCACGTGGGTTTTCTAGGTGTAAAGTATTCAGAGGTGGTTTACCAACCCTTCCTCTGGGTTGCATTCTTGGTCCATGCATCTCACTCCAGGCCACACCAGTGTCAGGGCTTGTAACCCCACCAGCCACCCATGCTCCAGCTGATCTTGGCTGGCTGTGCTCCTGCAAGGCACACTGGGGAATCAAATCCCCAATTTTGAATTGAAAGTCAGGTGCTCTAAAACAATGAACTGTTACATATGCTTAACAGCCCACCAAATGCCCATGACAAGTGTTAGTGAAAGTTAACCAGTGAGTACAACAGGGCTCAAGGAAAACCCAGTCTGAAACAGAACCAGTCCAGGTATTTAAGATGGATAATCATTGGTATCCATACAAATGTATGCATTTCTAGTTGTTACCATTGTTGAGATCTTTCAAGAGAAACACGCTTTTGAAAACATTTACCATTATTTAATTTGTAGCCAGAGGGAAGGAATCTTGTAGTTTAAGTTTATCTGGAACACAGAAAACTCCAGCAAATGCTATGATTAGGTGCTACTAAGAGCTAATTCTTAGTAGGTCAAATTAGGGTTCTGGGGGTCCAATTTTTGAACATAACCTGTGCAGTTATTTAAATCAGGAGATGAGTAGCATCAGTGCAAAATTCTGGGTCTCTAGAATTTCGGAACCCTTCCAAACAATCTTTTGAAAATATTGGTGGCAAACTGGATTTAATTTGGTTTTCAAATACAAACTAACTGAGCATTGAAAGGCAATATACTTCTGAGATAGTTCACTTAAAGTCTAGTAAATTAATCGTATCGCAAAATTCACTTAATTAGATAGTTCAGGCTATTCCTAAACAAGCCTACAAGCTTTTCTTCCTTCTCTGTTTTATTAAGCATGTTTGGAATGTTTCTGAGGCAGTCCCAAAAACAGTCTTGCTACATAATGCAGCATCAACCCAAGTCCTCAGCATTTCTGCAATCTTATACATTAACCTCATGTGCAATTGATTATAAGATAAAATTACTTCAAAATGAAAGTCTGTAGGTAGGAACAATTCCCCTTAATGTGAAATAATTGTAAAATCGAAACAGCAGATTTTTCCCCAGAGAAAGCAGAATCTTACCTCATTATTTTCCTCATAATTTTCTTTCAAGTGTATGAGAAATAAATTTAGCATAAAGTTCTGAAGGAAGCTGATCATAGGACAGGTTATCAAAGAACCAACACAGTGTTTGTTTTGACACATTCTGCTATTAATTTGAAAAGAGCTATGTCCAGTCGTTCAAAATCCCTTCTGCAGTTTTGGGATCATGACATTTCTGGTGGCATAAGCCATTATGTGCCTAGGAATACTCTGTTTTCTTAAACAATCAAATCATAGCATGATTAAATCATGATATTCGCCTCTCTCAAAATGCCGTCAGGTATGACTTATGTCCTGATGGGGATGCAGAAAAGAAAAATCCATGTTTTAGTTTGGAAAAAATGTTTTTATGATAACCTCGATTGTCTATCTATCTGACTGGAAATAGAATGCAGAGACATACAGGTATAATACGTAAGTCCATTTCTTTACACTATCTCACAATGCACTTCAAAACTCAGATTCCTGCGTAGGAAATATGGACTTCCACCCAAGTCCTAGTGGTAGCTTACTTTATTTAAAATGCCTTCTGCAAAATGTTATAAAATAAAATTGTCTAAATTCAATTTGCGATGACTTTGTCATCTTTTTTCTCTCACTACCCAAATAATACTTTACAAAGATGTCAAAAGATTTTCAGCCTCTGAAGTCTATTATCAGATGCCAGTACTATATATGTAAAACAACATTGTGATATACTCATTCACAACAATCAAACATACAAACTATTAATTAATAGTTGAATGTTGAAACTGAAGATACCTGCATATTAGCTAACATGTATGCAAATGTGCAATGACTCATATGATCTGTCTATTTTTCATTATATTAAAAAAACAACGGGGGGGGTGGGCTAAACAGACAGACACTTGAATTCTGTGTTGCTTTTCCATAATGGAAAGAAATTGTTCTATTCTTGGAAGTGACTCAAGTCCTGTGGAGGCTTCTCCAGGCAGTAGGAAGTGGTGATATATTTTCCCCAGTTCCTCTTTCCTCTGTAGATCCTGGGATCACATCACATGCTGTTTTAATCAGTAAAAGCATCCCGCAAGTTGAGTTGCCCTCAGGAGAACTGCCTACCAATTTGATTGCTTATTTTGTGTGTGCACGTATACACACAGAGTTTTTCAGACTGTCCTGAATCCTGATACAAAGCAGGCACTTCTTGTGCTTTGTACTC